AGGGTTTCTCTGTGTAGCTTTGCGCCTTTCCTGGAACTCACTTGGTAGCCCAGGCTGGCCTCGAACTCACAGAGATCCGCCTGGCTCTGCCTCCCGAGAGCTGGGATTAAAGGTGTGCGCCACCACCGCCCGGCTGTATAATTTCATTCTTGAAACACTGAAAATTATTTAAAATCAAATGTATAAAGCCTGGCATTGTTTCAAGGACACTGGAAGCTGAGTGACCACAGATCAGTCAGCTGCCTTGAAAATGTGAGAAAAAGATTTCCTGCCTGAATTTGGCTCCTGGAAAGGGTCTGCCTAGTAGAAGACAGATCATAAGCATTTCCAGTGATGCAAGGTCCCAGAAAAATAAAAAGCAATTCTTCCAGGAAGCTTTTGGAGTGTGCGTTCCTCTAGGAGTTGAAAGTCATGGGCAGGGGGAGCCCCTACCTGAGGCAGCAAAGGAACCCCAGAGGGTTGGAACATGGCTTAGAGGGGCCCAGGGTGTCAGAGTAGGGCAGTTGGCAGTACCATCATGGGGCTTAGATTAAATAAAAAATTTAAAAAAATAAAAAGCCTAAATACCGTTCAAGGGTAAGTGAATGCATTAGCCTCTGAGCAGAAACAGAATTGTCTAAGAAACTGTCCCTAGCCATTTCGTGACTGTCATGAATATCTTTCCCCAATCGTAACCCCCTGGCCAGCTGCTCACTGACACATGGAGAAAATCCTCTGGAGAGGAATGGGGCAGGAGAGGTGAGAGGGGCCAGGAATGGGGACACCATGGATTGTAGAGAATAGAAAGGCAGGAAAAAAAAATGTTAGTACATTATATACAAAAGTCCTTATGCCCATGGATAAGCACTAGGGAAACCAGGAATGCTAAACACGCAGGGTTGTCTTCTTCAAAGAGATGTATAACCTGTTTTCCACCCAGAAGGCTGGGAATGGAGGTGGCTAATAGCCTAGGTGACCCTTGGGCTAGCTGTAGGGCTAAGCCAGACCTGGCTCCCACAGGCAGAAGCAAAAGTAGCTAATAGTCCAGACCTCTGCAGATCCTCCCCTAGGCCCTTATATGTTTATCTATAGAACCCATCTTCAGGGAAGAAGTGGCTTGTACTTTGAGAAGGATTTCAATGTATTTATGCCTCATTGTGCACACGGGATTGTGTTACACCAGGAAACAAATTGTACAGTGCTTAAACATGCCAAAATAAACTGCCTGTGTCAGATCGGAACGTTTGAACCAATGCCGGCTACTGAGTCGTGTTGAATTTCTTCTTCCCTCAGATGGTTTCTCTACTGGCTCTGGTGTTTGCAGAGACTTCCACATTTTACACACACACACACACACACACACACACACACACACACACACACACACACACACTGGGAATTGATCCCAAGACTTTGATCCTATGCTAGGAAGTGGTCTGCTACTGAGCTGTATCCATTGCCTTTTTTTTTTTGGTTTTTTTTTTTGGTTTTTTGAGACAGGGTTTCTCTGTGTAGCTTTGCGCCTTTCCTGGGTCTCGCTCTGTAGACCAGGCTGGCCTCGAACTCACAGAGATCCACCTGGCTCTGCCTCCTGAGTGCTGGGATTAAAGGCGTGTGCCACCACCGCCCGGCAACCATTGCCATTTTTTAAATGTTGTTCTGAGACAGTCTTATTCTGTAGCCCAGTCCAGTCTTGTGAGTTGCCTGCCTCAGCCCGCTGAGTGTTAGATCACAATCTTGCAAGAATATGTCCAGCTAAATAACAGGTTTTATTTTGTTTTTTTGGGTGCTGGGACTTGAACATGTGGCTTTGGGCCAGTTAGGAAAATGTTATGTCAAGCTACACCTGCATCCTTGTATATACATAATTTATACTATATATATATATATATATATATATATATATATATATATATGTATGTATGTTGTATGTATTTGTTGTACATATAAATCATGCATATATAAAAACATATAACTTAATAAAAACCTAGCTCTGGCCTGAGATATGCCAATCAAATGAGGACTAGGGGCTTTTCAGAATGGGAAACCCTGAATTTGACCCTCAGTCAGGCCCCTCAAACCACCCTGCTGAGGTAGCCCCCACCTGGACGGTTATTCAAATCCGATAAAGCACTCTGAACGTGCTATCAAAAGACCTGGGTAAATGAAGCTATGCTCAAGCATGTCCGCATAGGAACTGATTATAATAGTCCAGCAGCAGGAAGTAGAGAAACTAGGGCTCAGCTGGGTGTCTGGGGGCCTGTGACACCCCACCACACGTTTGCTGACATGTTAAAAACAGGCAGGGGCAGGTGGAGAGTGCAGCTCAGAACAAGCCAGAACAAGCTCAGAACTGGACTTTGGGAACTGGAGGCTCCCTCTCCTGTCCAGGAGAAGGGCTGGCATCTGCTGGGGCTTTGGGAAGACACGTGTGCTGGCAAACCCACAATTCCATCCCGGGAGCCTGAGGGAGAGCTGGTGGAGGTGGTGGACAGCTGGAAAGGCCACCATCTCTGGGAAGCACCATCCTGGCGTAGCTCCTGCAGTGGGCACACGGATATGGAGCCACACTAAGAAGGGACCTATCCCAGGAGGGATGTGTGGCTCCATTTCCATCTACTCTCTCAACCAATGTGCATAGAAAAGTGCAGGAGCTGCAGCTCTGAGGTTCCTATCCTCGCCCCCTCCCCCACCCCACACGGGGTGGCCGC